GAGAATGTAGTAGAGTCCAGTGGCTTGAGAAATGGACGGGTCTTGAGAGACCGGAACTGGCCCCGTACTTGCGCCCCCTTGTATCGGTGCCGAGGAAGAGAAGTATCTCCACTGTCTGTGGTAGAACGTGTTAACGATAGTCTTCCAGGGAGCGCGGGTGCCTAAATCTACCGCGTTCACCTCTTCTTGCTTTGCTGTTTGTTTCCTCTCTTCCTAGGCTTTGGCAGTCTCTCTTACCCGTCACTTGAGTTATTTGTTTGCACCTATTTCAAAAGAAGATGTGACGGAGCTTCTGAGTGTTGGCGTCACCACACGTTAGCTGTGTGGCTGTAGGTGGAGCCTCTGTGGGCCTCAGTTTCTCTGTGAGAGCACGTATGTGAGCAACACGTGGGACTTCTCTTCTTTGGGGAGGAAGGAGAAAAGTGGTCTGGGTGGTTTAAGAGGACAGCTCATGAGATGAGGATTTGTTTTAAGGTTGAATCATTTTTCAGGCCATGAGGGGAGAGGCATCAGTGAAATAACATTGACTGGAGAGAGGAGATGCTTTGTGAAGGAAGGGAACCTGAGGAGGTGGTGGGGCGGGGATGGCAGGCACAGGGAGAGCGGGACTCAGGAGGCGTGCGAAGACACGGGACGGATGGAAAACCCAGCTGGGAGTGTCTGCAAGGCACTGGAGGTGCAGATGACTCGTCAGTCACAGTCCCTTCCTGTGAGGGCGTCCGGGCCTGCGAGGGGGAAGAACGGACACGCAGAAGTCAACGGTGACGTTGAGAGGGCAGTGTTGCTGCCACATGGTGTTGGGTAGTGGAAGGAGAGGGTCAGGGAGTACTTTCCAGACAATGGGATTCTTACACAGAATTTTGACTGTGTGAACGCCTGGCTTAAACTTTGTTCCTTAGGCTATGGTTTCTCATTAAATTCTGGCACTTTAAAGCTGGGTGGTAGCTTCATATTGACTATGTCTCCTTCTGGAAAGATGACACCCATGGAGGAAAGATTGGAAGGGAAAGCCAGACTGACCACCAGGAGACACGGAGAGGGTTTTGTCAGTGCTGCGGATAAGAGAACATGGAAGCTTGAACGGAGAGTCGTAGCAGGAAGGGAAATTGAGTTACTCTCATTTGTGGACTAGCAGATGTGGATGGTGGTGATGGAGATAAGAATTTAGAATTGACAGAACATCCACAAAACAACTGTAGAATCAAAGCCACAGCAAAATACCACTTTACACGGGCCAGGGTGGCTGTCATCAAAAAGGCAGATGATAAACAAGTGTTGGCGAGGACACACAGAAATTAGAGCCCTCCTGTACTCCTGGCGAGATTGTAAAGTGGTGCAGCCACTGTGGGGAACGAGTCTGGCAGTTCCGTTCTGAGATAGAAAAGCAAGAACGTTGAAAACACGTCCACAGGACACTTGTCCTTGAATGTTCCTATCAGCAGTGTTCATAATGGCCAAACAGTAGAAGCAGCCCCAGTGTCCATCATTTCATGAGGAGAAAACCCGCTCTTAATATATACACATTATGGAGGGCAGCCCCGGCTCACATCACCGCCAGGATGAGCCTTGGAAACATGACACTGGGGGAGCGAAGCCAGTCACAGAAGCCCACACCGTGTAGGACTCCGTTTAGGTTGGACTGTCAGAATCGGCAAACCTAGAGATAGAAGGTTAGGTTCGTGGTTGCCTCAGGCTCGGGGGAAGGTTGTGGGGAACGGGGAGTGATTGCTAATGCGTATGTGGTTTCTTTCTGGGGTGATGCGTGTATTCTGAAATTGATTGTGGCAACAGTTTACAGCTCTGTAAACATGCGAGAAGCCATTAATTGTGCACCTCTGTCTCAGTAAAGCTGTCAGAGATGCTGTTCTGAGGTAAAAATTCGCTTTGTGCGGCTTAGATGCATTCCGTTTTGGATTTGTTTTTTTTTGAGGTATACTTGCCACTTCCACTTAGATAGTTAGATAAAGGTGAGTGTAGGGCCTTGGTACTGATCCGCATCAAGGTGAGCGGGAGCGTGTATGAGATCACTGTGTGCTGCACCTTCACCTTACACCATGTTCTCTGTCAGTTACAGCTCAGCAAAACTGGGGGGCAGAGGGGACGGGGAACATTGTGATGGGAAGAAGAATGAGTTAATTTCCCCACGGAAAAGATGGCTAATGCCAGAGAGTGGGGTAACATCATGTAATGTCACAAGTCAGACTAAGGAAGACTGGAAGGTGAGAGATCGGCTCAAGAGCCAGTGAAGAAGTGTGTCACGGAGGCCGAGGGAGTTGTCCTCAACAGTGTCCCTCACTGTGACCCAGAAAGGGGGACTTAAAAGCACCCGGGAGAAGGTTGTTCAGACCATTTTGTGGGCAGTCGTGGCATCCTGATAGGGAGCAGAAGCCAGTTTCCAGTGAGGAGACAGAGAGAGAGAACCCACCTTGTGGGCGTTGGAGAGGGTGGGGGTCAGTTGGATTTCTGTCACTTTAGACACACAGCTTCCAGGGAGGGAGTAACTCGGAGGGTACATGTGGTTTGGGTAGTCGAGGCCGAGGCTGGTGGCTAGCTGTGTATGGGGGAGTGGATTTAGAAGAGGGGATTAAAACTCCAAATGGAGTAAACAGTTTCAAGTGGCTTTAAAAAAAATAGTATTAGTTATTTGCTGGGTGTTGGGGGCAAGAATTTTCTAGTTTCACACATAACCCATCCTGAAAGACTAAACAGAGTGAAGATAAATGGTGCAACTGAATGCAGAATAAGGTTTGTAAATGAACCTCATGTCAGTAAGGGCGGCCGTGAAGATCACTGTCGGGGCGTGAAAGTGAGAGGAAAAACTTACGTGGGGAAAACTAAGGAAGCAGTTTGGCAAGAAAAAACTAGACATTTGTGTGTATAAATGAGTAAAGAGTAAGAACGGACATTGCACCAGAGGAAATAACGTGTATTTTCTATACCTGGAGAAATTTCACCCCCAAAAACATTTAGGAAAAACCAGATTACTTTTCACCTTTTTAATTTAAAGATTTATTTATTTATTTTAGTGAGAGAGGGAGAGAATCTCTAGCAGAGTCCCCACTGTGCACAGAGCCCAACATGGGGCTCGATCTCAGGACCCTGAGATCATAACCTGAGCTGAAACCAAGAGTCGGATGCTTAACCCACTGAGCCACCCAGGTGTCCCACCTGTATTTCACATTTTAAATTGTAATTTGGTAATAGGTCTGAAGCCTAAAAACCTCTCATTTAAGAAAACCATGTTTAAAATGAAAGGACTCGAGGTTAAAAATTTAAAGATGCTGGATTATAACAGTAATTTCCAAAAAAGGAAAATGGATCTTAAATTGATTCTCTGATAGAGTTTTTATAGAAACATTTAATACCATTTTTTCAAAGAAAATGACTTGGAGAAAGTCCTTTTTATGTAATGCGTGAGGAAATTATCTAAAGAAGATGGTAAAAGCATTTTGTGTTGAACTTTGCAGTGTGCTTACAGTTTGTTACTTTTCCTGCTTCTAGATCTAGTTACTGCACTCAGCAGATTTTACTGGGAGGTGGGGGCCTGGGACATGAGTGCGCCTGTCACCGTCTGCGCTTGTGCACCCGTGTGCACGCATTCGGGAAGGGTTTGTTGGAGAGCAGCAGTATGTATAGACTCCGGCTCGGCTTCCCCAGAGTTTTTAACAACAGGGGAAGTGCCCAAGTCAGGAGACGAAAAATAACCTTGAGATTTATACCAACCACAAATCTGGGGGCGCCTGGGTGGCTCAGTCATTTAAGCGTCTGCTTTCAGCTGAGGTCATGACCCCAGGGTCCTGGGATGGAGCTCCACGGGGAGCCTGCTTCTCCCTCTCCCTCTGCTGCTCCTCCTGCTTGTGCTCTCTCTCACTCACTCACTCTCTCTCTCTCTCTCAAATAAATAAATAAAATCTGTTAGGTAGAAAGTTAGGAATGAAATAGACATACATATTGCCATTGATTTTTTTTTTTTTTGATGGGATTTGGACATTTGGTTGAAAGACTTTTTACACCGAAAATTCTTATATTTTTCTGTCTTTTCTAACATTTTCCAAATAAGTATACTTTTTTTTACTATTATTATTTTGTATTTTGCAGTGGAGAAAAAAATTTCACCATAAAAGATTAGTGATGATTTTGGTAGTTTCACCAATAAGGAGTATTTGTGTGATATAAATGAGCTGGTGGGTTCGAAGTTCACCTTTGTTTTGATCAACAACTAATTTGTGACTTGGATTTTAAATCCTAGTTTTATAGAAAAGATGCCTCATGAATGTCATTTAAGGTTGATGAATTTTCACTGGCAATATGACATGCTCCTTTTGCAAATTTGGGTGCACTCCTTTTCCTGAAAATGTAATTTTGCCTTTCTGTGATTTAAAAAGTGCATTATGAGGTTACTTCTCATTTTTTTCTTAGGAGAGTCTCTGGATGTTTGACTGTCACCAATTTAGATCAGCAAGTTAGTGAGGAATCTAGGAAATCATTACATAGAGACTCAGTTCTGGTATTTGGATCGTATACTTTATATACAAACAGAGCAGATTCATTGTATTTACTGCGTGTAAAATGCTAGACACCGTCTATGTGCCAGGTACCTTGAAGTTCTGCATAAATGGGGAAGAGTCTGTTGGCTCTGACAGATGGGTCCTGTTTGGTAAAATCTGTGGTCTTTGTAAAAAGTGAACAGGTTCCATTTTTGGAAATCATCTTCTGTATATATTCAGTGTTTGATAAAGGACCGTGGGAGCCAGGGCCACGTCCATAATAGGCACTTTATGTTTAACCATGTTATTTTAAATACTTTAAACAGGACCCTTACTCTCTAATTTTGCAGTTGATAAAAATGGTGATGTATGCATTTCCATTCTTCATGAGCCTGGGGAAGATAAATATGGTTATGAAAAGCCAGAGGAACGCTGGCTCCCCATTCACACTGTGGAAACCATCATGATTAGTGTCATTTCAATGCTGGCAGACCCTAACGGAGACTCACCTGCTAACGTTGATGCTGCGGTAAGGCCCTCGTGCAAATCTCCCCTCCCCATCAATTACACTTGATTAGAATGAGAGCATGTGTGTGAGTGTGTGTGTGTGTATCTACAGATCGATTTATATACATTTGTTTCTCCTGAATCCATACAAAAATGAGTTACAGACTTACCTAAGCTTTACCCCTGAATACTTGAACCTGCCTCCTTTAAGAATAAGGACCCCGTCTTTCATAGCTATAAACACGCTTCACCTAGATTCACCAGTTGTGGAGATTTTACATTTCCCCCTTAAACTGTTTGAGAAGTCTTTATTGATGCCCTGACTCTCCACGTGTAAACACTTCAGTGGACTCTCCTGAGAACAGGGGCACCCTTTCTCATGCCCACAGCACAAGTCTGTCATTGATTCAGTACTGTTCCATGCATACTCAGCCCATACTCAGATTTCTCCAGTATTGTTCCTCATACCTGCTTTTTTTTTTTTTTTTAAATCCAGAATCTGGGAACCCACATTTTATTTTGTATTCATGTTTTATTAGTCTCCTTTACTCTGGATAATAGCCTAGTTCCTCAGCCTTCTCCTTTGAAAAGCCTTTCATTGTAATTCTTATTCTTAGAACTTTTGTTAGTATATATCAAAGCCAGGAGATTAAATTTACTTTTCTATTTGGGTAACTTTTATATAGGTAACTAATACAAAAACTTGGGTGATAGTATATAGTCTATGTAGAAAAACACTACTTTGATAAATCTTTTTCAAATGTATGCCTTTGCATTTTTATATTTAGTGATCAAATTGAAGTAAAAAATTGACAGAAAACCATCCTAGCTTTTTATTTAGTCGAGTGTCAGTCCGGGCACTGTGTAAGAGGTGGGAGGGGAGAAGAAATCCTGTGGAATCATTTTGAAGGAGAACTAATTCTTGTTTATTTTGATTCATGCTCAACTATAACTCTCTGTAATAAGATCAGAACTGACAAATTGTATCTTAATCTTCATAAAGGTTAAAATTAAGGATAAATTAAGAGCAAGTACCTGAAAGTATGAATATGCAAAAGTTATTAACTCTTCAGAGCAGCTGAGTCCTGGCACCACAAGGACTTCCGAGAAAGGGCAGTCCTTGCCCGATGCTGCTCGAAGCTGAACTATGCAGATGGGACTCAGATCTGCACACCACGGGCCACGCGTCATCACTCTGATTACTGCTTGAAATCCACTGCCGCTCTTGCTGAATTTAACCAGTTGTCTCCGATTTAAGCCACAGGTTGCTCATAGTTGCATTTACCTTTCACATCTGCTCTTACCTCTCGCATGGTACACCTCGCCATGTTTTCATAGGTGTTCTGTTTGTTTGCTTTTCTGACCTCTCAGTCAGTGATAGCTATTCCAGGAGACCCCTATTTTTCTTGGCCATCCCTCTCCTGGACCCCTCCCTCCTTGGGCTCCGGATTAGGTTGGCTCAGACTGCTGCATGTCTGTCTCCCTTGGACTTCCCCTTCCTGCTCTTCTGGATGGGATTGTCTGTTTCCTGGACCCTCTTTCTTTTTTCTTGGTTGACTTCTTTCTGTTGTACCTCATCTGAGAGTCGTGTTTCAGGAAGGCTATGTCGGAATTAAGACCTGGGTCCTTACCTGTCTCAGAGGGTTTTTTATCCTACCCTCATACTTGAGTGACAGTTTGTAGAATTCTGGGGGAGGAATGCAGATTTCTACAGAATTTATCTTTTCGTATTTATTGTTGCTGATGAGGAAGTTGATGCATAACTGACTCTTCTGCATTTGTGGGTGACCTTTTCTTTCTTCCTCTGTTTTCCCTGTTCCCTTCAGGTTCTTTTCTGATTCTTGGTCTTCGAAATTTCACGTTGTTGTGTAGAGTTTTAAGATTTTTCACTTCTGTACAGTACTCCCCCTTCTTCATCAGTGGTGTGTTACCGAGTCCCCCAGTGGATGCCTAAAACCGGGGATCAGTACCAAACCCTATGTGCATCAGGTTTTTTCCTGTATGTACATCCACATGATAAAGTCCAGCTTATGGGCTCGGTGAAAGAATTACAGCGATAACTAAAAATAGAGCAGTTATAACAGTACACTGCAATAAAAGTCGTGTGCTGTGGGTCTCAGTACCTCAGGGTCCTGTGCTTGCCGTCCTTGTGAGGGGATCATGTGCCCGCACGACGAGATGAAGCAGGGCGAGTGACTCTGAGGCTCCTGTTGACCTTCTGGTGTTATGTCAGAAGGGGGACCGTCTGCTCCTGGACAGACCAGGGTCGGCTGTGGGCAACTGAGCCCACAGAGAGCGTAGCCGCGGTTGGGGGGTAGCGGGGGGACTCCTGTGGTTGGTGTGTACCTGCAGGACTTCAGCTCTGGGAATTTTCCCTCATGTGTAGTATTCTTTCCTTCTTGTTTTTTATTAATTTTTTATTTGAGTGTATATTCCTTCCTTCCTTTGGATTTGTAGCTGCTGCCCAGATTGATTCTTGTACTCTGGCTCATCTAAACTTGTGCTGATTCTGAGTTCCTATTGAATTCTCATTTTGGTGGTGCTAACTCTTAATTTTAAGGAGCTTGTTCTTTTCTGCATTAATTTCCTTTTTCATAAAATCTTGTCGCTGTTTGATGAAGTTAATAGTTCTTCCATCTTGTGCGAGTTCTAATTAAATTTTTCAAAGTTAAATTCTGGTCATTCTCTGAGGCCAGTGTTTTCTTTTGTATTTTGAAGTCTGTGCCAGAACCCTGTAGGCTTCCCACACAGCTGTG